TAATCTCTTTCTTCCCTCGCAATGGCAGCTACTCTGGATGCACGAGAAGAAGGAATGATTCAGGAGTATTGGGCGCTCGTTACAGATCCTGTTTGTTCAATGACGAAATCAGGCTGCAACTGTATATACATTATACAACTGTGCAAATCTCAAAGGTGCCAAACTACTGATACTGGTTATGACAATCGAATTCCTTAAGAGAGAAACCGTGGGATACAAGAGCGTTTGCCTCACGTTGTACAATACGTATACTTTTGGAACTGAACATAGTAAAGCATACATTATAAATCAGATAATATTCTTAAGATGTGTCTCCTTTGTAAATAATTTGAGCAAACTGGATTTCCCATTAGTTGGGGGCTCTTGAGTCTGCTCCAGGGTGGTGCATACGTATCCATCCTCTTTTTTTTAATGACTACAACTTCGTTGACTGGAGACTTTGTTTGCACAAAGTGCACTGCAACCTTGATCCACTAATCCCGGGGAGGTATAGACGGAAGATGTGTGATTCATATGCGTCAATGACGCCTGGGCAATCTTGCTGAAGCTGGATCTCACATTCGGAGGAAGGATACCGCTTCACCTTTGCACAAAGAGCACTGCAACTTTGATGCAGGAGGTATAGACGGGGGATATGTGGTTCATATGACACCTGGGCAATCTTGCTGAAGTTGAATCTCAAATTCGGAGAAAGGATACCGCTTCACCACGTGAATACGCCGACCCATTACTCTCTTCATGCACAGAATTCGGTGGAGGATGATCTTCCAGTGGCTAGTTCTCTTGTTTGTGAAAAGACGTCGAATGTCTCCGAGTGTAACGGGGTACGCACCCTATTTCTTGCTGTGCACGTATACAATCCCTGTTGCTTGGGAAGCTCAAGATGAAGTAACACGACGAAGTATCATGCTTTGTGCTCACAAAAACGGGACTTCTATACAAGTTAGAGAAAATCATGCGTTGAAAGTAAATTGATAATCATGCCGATATTAGCCGATTCCATTTTAAGCTTGCTCAGGCTGTAAATAAACCGCTTCATTCAGAGCGAATTGCTTTTGATAATTTGAGAGACGCTGGTGAAGCTCATACCATTTTGGGCGTAGATTTATTTCTGGGGTTAATGATGTCAACAAATTGTAAAAGTCCATGGGTTGCTACGAAGTGATTCCGCACCAAAAGGCCAGCTCGGAAGCGAACAATGCATACTGGAGCCGAGTGCTCGTAATTCCATCCAGATGCCGTCAAATTAATCGACTGTGGCTGGAGAAGATGCTTGTTTTAATCGAAGGCATGCAGATCTTCGCGTTAATGTGGCAAATATCGCTGCCACGGCCGTGGCCTGCTCGCTGGCTGGAAGTCGCGCGCTGGGCAAATGCATTTAATCTAGATTTATTTAGCTTCTTAGCCACAGGCGCTTCCATGGACTCTGTTTCGGAGTCTATTTCGTTATGGGGAGAGATGTCTCATTATTCGCTATATGCTCTCGCTTGGGGACTTGTACCATGGATTGGCATAGCTGTCCTTGAAATCGCTACGATTATGTGGAAGAAACAGGGCTGTAACAACTTTTTGCTGCTTAGTGTCAAAGGGAAGAACGTGCTGTTGCACATCATACAGCTTTTATATCTACCTGTGGGATTGGCTGTATTGCGACTTTTGAATTGTAATTCTGATGGAAGGTTATCAGTAGACCCAACTGGCATGCGTTGTGGTCATTTGGGGCATGTTATAATAGTTCTCGTTGTTACTTGTGGCCTGGGCGGGAGTATTCTGGTTGGACTTCCGTTGGTTTTATGCCGTCGTATTCGAGAGTCCATAATTTACTCAGATGCAACAGAGCACGAACGTTTTGTGCAGGAAAAAGAGCTTGAGTTTATTCTTGGCACGTCCAACTCGTATCTGGAGCTGTATTTTCCTCTGTTCGCGTCCTATCATCGAAGTTCCGTGAACATTCCGGTGCAGATATGTATGCTGAAATTACTCCTGTTACTAACATTTTCGTCGTTGCGGTCGTTGCCATCGACAACAAATCAGGGGATGCAGGGGTCAATAATTTTTCTTCTTTTGGTCTGTATGGCAGTTTTTAGAACGTGGAGAAATCCCTATCGCTGTGTATCCACGACTTACTTTGCCAGGCTCATCGACTGGATGCTTGTGGCTAATGGCATTATTGGTACGATCGTTTTAAGTTAAGAAATTGTTTGGTTGTCAAAAATTTCATATTAGAGGTCTTGTGATTAGTGCTGCTCTGTGCAAATGAAGTTCGAAGTGCCTTCACTGTGTCAACATCTGTGACTTTTTCGTTGACGTTTATCAATGTATGCTTTTTAAGCATTATTTGCTTAAAAGAGTTACGTGAAATTGCGCTACTTCACTTATATCCAAAGTCTACTAAGATTAAAGGGATGTGCTGGCCAACAAACGACTGGATGGAGGAAATAGTCAATTTTGGACCAAAAGTAGAATTGTGGGTGAAATCTATTCATAATGCACAGAGTACTGTTCTCGCATCGCTACTTTTGACTCCGGCGATGCGTTCTTGTGAAGAAATTAAAAGTGCGCTTGATCGAGTCCGGCTCTGCTACGAAGAAGCTGCAAGCTTTGAACATTTGCTGACGGTATGAGCTTCTCATTAGTAAAGCGAACACTTGATCATCTGCTGCATTGACAGGGTCAACTCTACGAAGTGTACCTTAACGTTCATGAGCTTTACGTCGAGGCGGTAGCTTCAAGTCCCTTTCATCGAAGTGGCTTTCCAGTGGAAGCTTTGAAAAACCTAACGGGTGTCTTGAAACGACGACATGATCGGCAGCTGCTCCTATCAGCTCGAACTCAACGCGTGCTGAAAAAGATACATATTTCTAGAAGCTGGTCCCGACGGTCAAAGACGAATACACTTGGAAAAGATGAAAGTGGTCGAGTACGCACAGTAGTCTGTATCAAAAGTTTTCTGGATGCCGAACGTACACGTCATCAGACATTTTGTATGACATCAGCAAGAGATTGGAAAGCTGTGAATTCTGTTTTATGGCTGAAAGGTTCCGACGAAAGCGACTCAAAATTTCTTGTCTCCGTTCTAGCATGGAGCAAGTCGCTTGGCATGGTGAGATGGTGCGATGTTCAAGCAGCCCCCTCAATAGAAGGACATCACGAAGATTTTTTTTCACTTAAAACAGCAAGGCAAAGTGGAATTCAAGGTGAGTTACTATCTATTGGGGAGGCAGACAGCGCTTTGGCTGTGTTGCAATCTTTGTCCAGCTCCACTACGGACTCAAATTCTCACTTGAACCCTGAACAAAGTGCATGACATCATTTCTAATGTAACAGTTCTGCTTGCATGTGGATTTCCAGCAAAAATACTGCTAATATACTATTTGGTCTTGAAGCCACATTTTAAGCACGTAGAAATTGATATTGGGGCAAAGATAGTACTGTTCATTTCTTAAGGACTGCCTTGTGCTATACTGACAAGAATGTTAAGTATGCTCCTGTAGCCAATGCTTGCACTAACTTATGAGTTATGGTAACTG